AAGTCCCGCTGACTGCCTAGTTTTCCGCTGATGGAATATGGAGGGAGAAATCAATTATACGAGTATGTAGTCTTCGTCATTCAAACGCCACCAATTTACTAATATAGTGTTATAAAATAAAGTTATTTTGCCCAGATTTGAGAAGACAATGACTATATCGTCTATCTGTAATTTGAAAAAAAAAAACAAATTAAAAATTATAGACCCATGAGTAAAAGACGAAATGTGCTTTAATAATATTAATACAAAGAATAATAACAGTACAAAAATTATTAAAAAGTTACATTTGCGTTTATCCTTTTTAAATACAACATGTGTGTTTTGGGGCCATTTGACAAACACATTTAACGTGTGAGACTTTACCGATCAAAATCAATACTGCTACTAATTGTATCTCTGTTATATTGTAAAAAGGTCCACATTTGAAGCAAATAACTCAATTTTAGAAATAAGCGCTGACTTAGAATAAGAAATTTCATTTAAGACGATTTCGCGATTTCCCTTGAGGACAGATTGTTAATTTATCTCAAAATAATTTTGTTTTATTTTTCCTTTATTTTTAGAAATCTAATAAGTCTGTTAAGTTAGCTATTAAGTATTTTTCTTTACACCGTTTAAAAACAAAAGTAAAAGTTATTCCACAGCTGTTCCATTAGTCCACTTTAAAATAAAAATAAAATCTAAATACTAATACCCAGTCGATCACCTATATATACAAATAATAAGTCTGTCGAAAAGATGGTATATAATCTGTAATTTTAATATTTTCTGGAAAAATATGTCTAGAAGATAATTAAAGTACCAAAATCCCCTGCCAGTGTAATCACGGTTCACGCAAAAAAAAACTAATAAGCGGAATTTTATGAAATTGATGGCTGAGGCTGAATAAGGCTCCTTTTTATCCGACTATGGAAGTGCAAAAAGAGAGTCTTTCCCTACATTGGATGTTTATTTTCAGAATTTCTGCCGATGAGTCCATTAGTCATTTTTTGGTAAAAATTTTAAATTTTTAACCGTTTTAACATAGATGAAAACTGCCACGATAATCTATATTCTATGTTATTAAAACATTGCCCATTTAAAAAAAAGGATTGCCATGTTTTCCTTCCGTCATTAAATAGTAAGATAATATAGAATAGTTAATATTAAATGTCATATAAAATCGTTTATGTAGTTAATAGTATAATATCCTCTCAACTGCGGATATTCTCTACACTCACCATACGAAACCACCAAGCTACTATTTTACGCTGGTATTCTGTGAAAGCGTGGTCCTTCTCCGGTCGAGCCGACCCATTCTTGCTACAACTATACTACTGTTAAGAGCTTGAGATTCGTGACATTAAAAACTGCCGATTGAATTGCCAAAATTTACACTTTTATTACCGAACACCAATTTAAACTTAAAACACTAATAATTAACCACACTGATTCACTTTATTTCGCTCCGAAGCTTCGCTTGTCTCGCCAAATTCAATACTGCCTAGATCGTGGCATGCCGCGCCTTTTTATACACCTTTTTCACCGAAACATCCAGAATATTCCGGTAGATATGAGCGCCGACCGACCAGACGCAGAAAGTTCGAGTGCGGGGCCTTCTAGAAAGCTTAGTTCTTTAATCCGATACTAGATGGTGCTGTCGGTTGAAAGATTAGTCATGTCATTTTCTGGAAAGCTCTCCTGGCTCTGTTACCCGACACTAGATGGCGCTAATGCCAGACGTCAACTTAGGCGCGCAACACTACTAATACAACTGCAGCATGGCTCTTCCACTTTTAAAATTCTGGCATGTTTTGATTTTAGCAAAACTCACTATTCCCATAACTAAAAATTCCTTTATGTGAAAATTCACAATTTTGAGTCTTGAGACGTTTTTCATTTAGGTTTGGTTTAGGTTCTAAATATACGTATTACGACTTTTTATTGAAAATGAGATAAACACCATCGCGTCCTCGCAAACGTCAACAATATCGTTACCAGTTTTTTGGTAATTTCTAAACGCAACCAAACATTTTATCGTGAGTAATAAAATTGAAAAAGAAATCTACTATTGGTTAAAACTACTTTTACGGATTTTATTGCGTTTAATTTAAAATGTACGAAGTGTGGGGTGATCCCCCACTAGATGGAGTAACGACCTGAAAGTCGATGGTTGCAGGTGGCACAGGACCGTGCTTTGTGGCACACCTTGGGGGAGGCCTATGTTCAGCAGTGGACTTGTGAAGGGCTGTAATGAAGATGATGATGAATTTAAAATGTTTTTGATTCCCGACGATTCGGGCGCTTTCCAGCACCCTTGGTCACGGGGGACTGAGGAGACTGACGTCCCAATGTCAATGTTAACCCAGAGTACCTCTAGCTTTTTAATTATTGTTTGTGGTCCGATCTATGCAGAATTATTAGTATTGTTTTGTGTGTATACACCACAAACCAAAAAAAAAACTTTTATTTGAAACGCAACTTTTCACTTAAAGTGACACTCTGTAATAATTATCTTCACACAAATCCGAACTAGCGACATCTAGTGAGCAATAATTTATTAGCCCCCCTGACACGTTTCTCATCTCAATTTGCAATATAACATCAGACATCACACAAAAGGGTACTGTTGTAATATTGTAAGCTGCGTGTAAAAATTAAAGGCGAAAACAAATGAAGGCTTTGGAAAATGTCCGGAAACGACAAAATATAGTTTTTTTTTTGCCGAAAAGCAGCTTTGTTTTATTTTAAAGTTCAAAGTTTAATATTAAAGTTTTAAAATTCACCTGTCAAGTTGGGAATCGACCGAAACGTGAAAATGAACGTGCAATGGCGGTGTAAGAATATCCTCTACCCCATATTGTCCCGTGGATGTTGCAAGAGTCGTCAGAGAAATACAAACCAAGAGATGGAAAAACCAGAAGATTTTACACGTGGTAGAGTCATCCTGCAGCTATTTAATAGTATATTTGTAACACGAATGGGTCGGCTCGACCGGGAATGGACCCACTGAATACCAGCGTGAAATAGCAGCTCAGCGCTGCTGTGTATCGTGTGGTGAGTGTTGAGAATCAGATACCCGTTTTACTGGAAAAGAAGCATTCTATCTTCGTCCTCACGGCTGACAACGCATTTGCATTTTGATTCTTGATCGAGGTTAAATGTAGATGTCTATGGGCCACAGCATTCAATTACCATCAGGTGGACAGTGTGCTAGCTTGTCACCCTTACCCTGTATAAAAAAGATGGGCGGTAGAATCTTCCTTATAATGACTGAAAATTAAATAATAAACTGCGGTTGCAAACCCACCTGTCCTATTATCACTAAAGACCACGCGAGCAACGCCACGGTAAAATGTTAGTTATATTTACTTATGATAACTTGACAGCAAAGTTCGTGAATTTATTACCTTCGTGACTTTAATTCAATATTGCAAATTGCCATTAAAGAGATCGTTTTAAAAAATTATCTTTCAATTTAATTAGTACATTAAGTGCATAGTAACTGCTAACTTTATTACGGTGACAAAGAGATTTTGTTGCTCGTGTGTCGTAAATTTGAGATCAAAGAAACAATTCGCAAATAAAAGGATTGGCCTTTAGGGAACAAACGGCTTGCTGACGCAAAACAATTGGAAATTCGTTCGTTCTTTTGAGCTCCAAAATTGCGCTGCTTTGGGGAATTTAGTTTCATGGAGACCTAAAGTGATTAAAAATAAACTTGGTAAGCTTTAAACACATCTGTGGCTTTATAGTAAAAAAACAATAATTAATCTTAAAATTGTAGTGTTATTATTTCCAAGTCGTAAAATATTTAAAAATGTGCTTTTATCTTTTTAAATAAAAATATTAATAATGGTAACTTTATAAAACAAAAAAATTATACATCAAAATTGTAGCGTGTTTGATTTTTATGTAGTAAAAATATTTTTCATATTCTTAACTTTTTTAATCTGTACATAAAAATAAGAAGTGTATGTCTATAATATTCATATAATCGCCTTGTGTTTGTCTGTATTTGTTTCTGTCTGTGTGTCCTTATCTTTTAATTAGCCTTTGGAATGCATAAATAAATTTAAAAATATATGTTTTTTGAATATTTTCATACATATATCGTTATTAAGTACATTCATACAGCATGTAAGTATGTACTTAATAACGATAGTATAATAATGTATATCGTATTATATGTTAAATTTATCCTTACAAAAGGAAAACTTCTTCAATAAAGTTTTTTAGTTTATTAGTTAAATTACAGATACAACCATAGCGTTTTTGATTTTCAGGTAATATTTTTTTAACAAACCCAGCTATAATTTTAATTTGTTAAAAACTAATATGCGGTCTACCTGAATTAAATAAATTAATTAAAAATATATGTTTTTATGGTATTTTAATAGAATCCTGTAAGTATGTACTTAACGAAAGTGTAATAATGTATAACGTATTATATGTTGAATTTATCCTTATAACAGGAAAACTTCTTCAAAAAACAAAAAAAGTGATGCGAAAAATATATTTATCAAAATGGTACCTATCGAAATTGTATTTGCATTGATTAATAAAGTAAAGTAAATCACGATTATTTCTTCGTAGTAATTAAATACGAAAACAATTGAATGAATCTAAATTTAATGAATTATTTTTAAAACTTGAAACTTAAAATTTTTACACCTTCAGCAAATTAACGTTTCAATTCACTTTTTTACAAGTTCTTGTATTGTTTTTTTTTAATAAAAACAATTAAAATTAACCCAGTTTTGGAGGAGGGAAGGGAGGTTTAAGGAAAAGCGCGACAGCAAAAGATCTCTTACAAACGTATTCTTAAATCTCTTGACACCCACATTACCTCTTATTGAAGATTTATGTATAATAGGAACGGCTTAATTCAATTAAATAACTTAAGCTCTATTAAATATTATTATTTGTTTATATAACCGTTTCATCACAATATCAATAACGATAGCTAATTAAATTTTAAGCTTCTTAGTTTCCGTCCATAGATTGACAGAAAAGCGGCTTTAATAATTTTCTTCGCTGACTTTGTTTTGTTCTTCACCTGAAACAGAGTATTTAATATTACATTTACGTTGTAATTCTAATGGAATAATTAACAGAATGAAATAAAATTTAACTTAAAAATTTCAGCATTTAATTCAAGGACGTATAGTTATATATGTAAAACGGGTACATAGTTTCACCTATACTCTCTTTGCCCTCGCTAACTTGATGTGAAACAAGTCCGTTTTATGTGATTTTTAGAGACAATTTTATACGTGATATTTGAGACCACAATTTTATACCTGGTAGAGCTACGCTACAGTTATATTATGATTTTAGCACCAATGGGTCGGCTCGACTAAGGAAGGACCACACTCTCACAGGATACCAGCGTAAAATAGGAGCTTAATGGTGCTGTGTTTCGTATGGAGAGTGTAGAGAACCGGAGACCCCTTTTACTGGAAAAGAGGTATTCCATCTTAGTTCTCACGGCTGAAAACGCACCTGCATTTTAATTCGAAAACGAGGGTAGATGTAGATGTCTATGGGCCACAGCAACCACGTACCATCAGGTGGACTGTGTGCTCGCTTGTCAACCTTATCCTATAAAAAAGTAACGATGGGTCTCGGAGGACCGGTACTGATAGAAGGAAATTAATATTTCTAGATAGTCGGTCGTCCACGCACCTATTTTGCCACAGTACATTTTTGTACAGTACAAGGTCTTGTCCGCCGAGCAAACGCACGTGTTGCATTGTACGCTGAGCGTCGTGAAAGGCTCACACGGCTCGGAATTTGCTGAAAAATTAACAGAGTTATTATGTTCTTTCACTTTAAGCGTTTTAACGTGTCAAAATGTTTTTTACAAGTTAAAATGACAAACAAGGATACAGTGTACTTGAGTACTACTTGAGAGTTAAGTATGTGTGTGTGTGTGTACTTGATGGAAAGTGAATATTGTGTCCCATAAGCACCTTTGACTGGGACAAGACCACGTTTTCTAAGAATACCATCGTAGTACATTAGCATGATGCAACTTTATTTCGTATGGTGCGTGACGAGATTCAGATAATCTTTTCACTGGCAACGAGAAATTCTTTGTCTTCAGGAGCGACACTGTTCTTTATTTTAATCTGTGTCCACATACTGTGTGTCCCACCACCACTTGATAAGAAACAGCTGTGAAGGATAGAGGTTAGGAGGACTATCTCGTGTGGGGACGAGAGGAAAAAGTGTCCAGCTGTAAGCTATAAATAACAATTCATAAACCTTTACCTGGCGCTAGCATAGATACAGGTTATGGTATGAATGAAGCAGTTGTAGATGGAAGTAGTGTGTTGAGTTAAAAAAAAAAACAATATTTAACTAGAGTAGTTGGATAGAGTACAGTAAGTATATAAAAATTCAACTATTCAAGTAGCCCAAAAGTTTTTATAATGTAACCTAAAATAACTGCTGTGAGAAAACGTAAAGGGATTTTATTTTGTGAATTTCAAATCAGTTTAGTAATTACTTTTTAAAATAGTTCAAATTAAGTTTTTAAATATAAAAATATTTTTAAAATTTGTCACCCTTATTTAAAGCATTTCGACGGACACTTTCATACACAGAGATAGTCCTCCTTACATCGCCTCTACATAGAAAAGGCGAAGCTTTTTACTTGTCTATATACTTTATCTTAGACTTTTGAGGTCACAGTGTATCTGCAATTTGATTCTTATCCGACGATTTCTTATTCGCATGCAGGAATTGCGTGACTTAATTCTCCTTCTCTATTCATTCATTGCACCACCCGACGCTCGCCTGGCTCAACCTTATTGTAAACATATCACTTATTGACAGCGGACACTTAGCCCCTGAGCTACCACGGCTCTAAATTTCAATTCGCTGTACATTTCACAGTACGCGAGCAACCCCGGTTCGATCCCCGCCAGAACCAATGAAATTGTTAATTGCAATTTTGAAAGCTGATATCATGAGGAAACCTGTATGTCTGAGAAATAAGAAAAAATATTTCTAAGACATGTGAAGTTCGCAAACACGCATTAAGACAGCGCAAACATTTCCTTATGCTATAACACTCTCAGAAGTGAGAGAAGGCCTGTACCCTGCAGTGGGACGTATATAGATCGTAACTTTATCCTTGAACGCGTTGTACGTCGACGTCGATACTCATAATGCATACAGCAAAGGAGTGGAATAATTTGTCAACATCTGTCTTTCCATCCGATTACAACGTTGGTGTCTTCTAGGCTAAAGTAAATAGGCTTTTGGTAAGCTAAGACAGTGCGCTTTACCAACTTCGACGACCACTACCACTTACAACTACCACTTACAACTGGAATAGTAATCAATTCTGGCTTATAATACCTTTGTAAATATTATAAGCTTTAATATCAAAGCATTTATTAACAACACTAGCAATGCCCCCGGCTATATATTGCTATATGTTTTATACATATAAACCTTCTTCTTAAAACTTTCTATCTATTGATCAAAACCGCATCAAGACCCGTTGCGTAGTTTAAAAAATCTAAGCTTACAGATGGCGGGAAGTGACTTTGTTGTATACTTTGTAGAGATAAAGACAGTGTGCGCGTTTTACCTCAAAAACACATCAAAAACTACAGGTAAACTTACATCTCACAACAAATTTTAACGCAACTGTTGATGATACGAGAAACAAATTAAAATTATAAATTAAAAACACATTAAAAACTACAGGTAAACTTACATCTCCGCCAAAATAGAAGCATATCGTTATCAACAAATTTTAACGTAACTGTTGATGATACGAGAAACAAATTAAAATTATTAATTAAAAAACACATCAAAAACTACAGGTAAACTTACATCTCCGCCAAAATAGAAGCATATCGTTATCAACAAATTTTAACGCAATTGTTGATGACATCTGAAATGAAATTAAAATTGTTAATTAAAAAAAAACAAGCAATGCTGTTCCTTCTATGTCAGTACCACAATTTAGTCTACAAACACCCACGATACACAGTCTACCTGATGTTCAGTGACTTACTCACTCAATGATCGAAATGTAGGTGCGCTGTTACCGCTGAGAATTAAGATAAATTACCTCGTTGACAGGAACAAGTGGTAAAATTAAAAATTTTGTACATCCGACTTCAATATAAAATAAACTAGCTTGCCAGGCAGACGTTGTTCTGCCCTTTTCGACAACCCTTTGTCATGTTCTATTAAATCCTTAAATTCGCAAAAAAAATTGTGGGTCACTCATGGGAAAAAAAAAACTATCCTATCTCTCAAGTTGGACTAAACTGCACACGGTGTGCAAATTTGATTAAAATTGGTTAAGTAATTTAGGAGTCCATCGCGGACAAACAACGTGACACTTAATTTCTATATATATATATTAAGATGAAGACATCATGAATGTAGTCGGAGTGAATTAAATTCGCATTTTTAAAGATAACTTAAAAACTACTGGTCTTATCCTGATCAAATTTATAAAGAACCACATGAGAAGCACCAGTTTCCACCAGTACGAATCAACAAAATCAGTTCACCAAAAAAAGAGTTCCGAGATAACACACGTAAATAATACAGTGGAATTGAGAAAAACTACCTTTTTTGAAGTCGTAAGAAAATAATTTCTATTTCTCTTCAATCACCACACAAAACACAATAAGAAATTGCTGCTGTTTCACACTAGTTGCATGCAAGCGTGGTCCTTTTCACTCAAATTCGTGTCGTAGCATGTCTCCACTATTTAGTGGTTTAAACGTACGAGTAAGAGTACCTGGGTCCGTACATGCTCACATGCTGTGAGGCATTTCATATTAGTTCTCATGCCTTGCTATGTCACGTGTATGCAAACCTTCTTTCTTTGAACTTAGTGAGAGGTAGACTGCAGTATTTAGACATACTAATGTGCCTCAGTGATGTACACGAGAGTACACGAACCATTTCGAATCTCGTTCGAATTAACAAAAAAAAAAACAACAAAAACTAATCAGAACAACCTAGAAAATTAGACTTATAATTTTGCAGGTTTCATGATTAAGAATCCGATAAATACGTAAAAAGCCAAATTTCGTCAATAAGTCTGTTACAGTTCTTGAGTTATTAATGAGGTATATAATGATGAGTTATTAAAAGTGCTATTTTTATCACCTACTAACTTACTCATCAAAAACCCAGACAATTTCTAGGTGACTTAGAAATATGAAATTTTGAAGGCTGTGTAAATGAAGCTCAGGGCCTACATGGAGAATAGTAAAGTATAGTGTACAGGTAAAATAACATATAGTAGTGATAGTAGTAAAATAAAACTTATTGCACAATTTTTGCTCAGTAAATTTTTGAAAAATGTCGATAGATAAGTCCCTCATATTTTCTGGGACTATATTCTATAAAGGATTTACTGACCCTTTGGAGTCGAGTGGCTGCAGCACGCAAGTTGCTTAGGTGGTCATGCTAAACCACTCTTAAAAGGAAACAACCTCTTTTCTACTCTTGTACGCTTCTAAAAGACCTCTAAGTTCTATGTGGGCTCGTATACTGATGTTCATAACGCTTGTGTGCGCGTTCATTATATTTACAGAATATACATTCACTATTTTTAATAAGACTTTTTTTGTGTGTACATATAATAATTTCTCTAAGAAACTTCTTGGGACTATCGATCAATTTATCGAAAGACCAAATAATGTAATTTAGGGTTACCTTTCAATATTCTTGTAACATAATTTTTAATTTAATTCCACTCAATTAAAATGTATCACGCACCGTATCTTCTTCTCTGTTAGCCCGTATCAGGTTACTGCTATACATGTTCCTAAATTAGTCAAGACAGGACTTTCCGGATTCACCACGCTTGACTATTGGACTGACAATAGCAGTAAATTTGACCCTGCCCCTTTTTGCAGGCTGTGGGCATGAGATTTCAGTCTATCCCATTGTCGCTTTTGGGCTCACACACGAGATAGTTTCGTTTTGCCCCGCTAGGTTTCTTGCTGTTTCTTCCCAGGAAAGATGTATTTTCAGAACCAGTGGTAAATTTAACATCAGAGTGACTTTCAATAAGTATTATTTATAATCTACATTGTTTGAATAAAAAAAATTCTATCCTATCCTATTCTTTAACGCCAGACACGATTACGGTATGAGATATTTTTGAATTTAGAATTTTACAATTACTTGAAACACTGCTTCTACACACACGATAAGCCGTAAATAGAAAAATATTTTTACCACTATCAGGAAAGGCATTATAACTGCGTGCATTGCGTTAGGCACTAAAATAAACTTTATATGCCTATAAAACTAGTTTTACTCAGTTTTCACTCAGTACGCTATTGCAGATCTATTCAATTCTATCGAAAATTGGAAAGTGAAATCAGTTACGTTGCTTTAATAATTAGCATTCAATGATGCGAATTATTAATTGAACAAAAGAACGCTACGCCGCTAGTGTTTCTCTAATTAATTTTTAATTGATAACGATACATAGATTATGTATGATTTTAGTTCTGAACTCCTTTTTTATGGCTAGATCGATTTTGATGAATTGTTTTGTTTGTGTTAGAGTGGGTCTTTGTCTCTGGTTAGTTTGGATTAAAATAAGACCCAGAAGTAACCACATCCAAATATGGGCGAATCGTCAGTTTAAAATAAAGCTTTCCTTGAATAAAAGTATATAAAATAAAGTCCTGCAGACCGAATTTCGGTTTCGGTGGCCAGTCTCAATGGAGGCTAGGCATCTGTGCAAGACATGATTATAGTGCACGTGTGTGTGCGCAAACACATTCACTATTCCCTCGTTATCATATTTCGACAGGACATCAATCTGACTCTCTCACTTTCCTAGGCACGGTGCCAACACCAACTTTCTGTCTCCGCGCGAAAATATCTCGAAAATCTCACTAAACCAATAAGGAGATTCGAGCCCCTGTCCTGATGATCAGCAGTCGAATTTATTACCACTAGGTTTAAGGCCAGTTACTTTCTACAATTTTTAACAGTAATGTAATTATAACGAGATTACGTCCGTATTTTTTTACGTTTGTGCATGAAACTATAAAAACAAATTAGAATGATAAAATATCTCTGCGTTGAGCCACGTGACAGTTACGTAGTTACAATTTCATGGAGCGATATTTACTCGGGTCCATAGTATTTTAAACTTACACGCGAAACTCTATATAAATATAAATATAAAAAAAAAAAAAAAAAAAATAGTGATATATATATACTGTGATATACTATATATATTATGCATTTTTGTGGAGGCGTGATACAGCTATATTATGGTTGTAGCACGAATGGGTCGCTTCGACTGGGGAAAGACCACGCTCTCACAGAATATCGATGTAAAATAGCAGCTAAATGCTGCTGTGTTTCATATACACTATGTATAGAATACTGGAAACGAGGCATTCCATTTTAGTCCTCAGGGGTAACAAAATATTTGCATTTGATTCTTAATCGAGGATAGAATTAGATGTCCAAGGGCACAGCATCCACTTGATAAAATTCACATTCAATGCAAGAACATTATTGTCCTTGTCTGACATAATCGAGATAACAACAACACGCCAAGTATTTCTTACAACGCGGCCTAGTTTCGCTCTTTTATTGCTATTGTACATAGTATATTTTATTCACAAGCCTTTTGAGACGTGGTTTTCTTTACAGACAGTAAAACATTTTATTTGTCATAAATCTTCACCGTCTCATCGATATGCCTTTCACAGTATGCGATATATATTGATAAACTATTGTTTTTTCTAGTCGAAAAACAAATAATAATAAAGTCGATGCGTTCTGACATAAGAAAAATTTTTGCTGTAGATTTGATATGTAAAAACACATACTGAACATGAACAAATAGTTGAGGATTTAGTTTTCTTTGTCATTGTTATCGCAGTTTTGTGAATAACTTTGAACGACGTTTACTCATTTTTATTTTTGTCTACGTCATTGGTCTAACGTTCATAGTCGCGACAGCTGATTTGGTGGTTCCAGGCTCAAATCCTGTTATTCCTGGACCAAAAACAGTTATTGGGTTTTTCTCCCAAGAAGTTAAAAATGGGAGTTAAGGCTATGGTAGTGATTTGACTCCGTGCCCTGAGAGCACGTAAAGCCGTGCCCAAAGTTCTGCGTATTATTACTCTCCTGTCGTGTCGGATCCCTCTTATAAAATCACCCACTATCACTTGTGCACTATAATACTGTCCAGCGCAGATGGCTAGTCTTGTGGCTGAAGTTCGGTTTGAACGTGGAGGGCATTATCATTTTTACTTATTTTTAATGGTCAGTCCGAAATATTGATTTTTTCATCAGTCATTTAAACAATTTATTTGTAGAAACATAAACATATATAAAGAATTTTCACGACTCTTTCACTTTTTCTCCTGTTTATGAAGACGAGATACGCAAATCACTTCTGTTTAATAAATCTTAAGCTGTTGGTACTGATGATTTGAGTAGAACAATGTTCATATATGTAACCAAATTGATTCTATTTAGCCCGTATTAGTAAACATCATTAACTTTTCTTTTAAGTACGGCGTCTTAAGCGTAAAGCCTTTGTCATTCTTCCTCCGAAATCCAACGAGTGCAGAATTCGTCCTCATTTTACACCAATTTATAAAATAATGCCATTTTTTTCTAAAGTTTTAGAAGCTGTTGATCATAAATTAAATTATACTTTTATTATCAAAAACATTGGATTTAACGCTGAGCAGTATTCTGTAGGAGCGTGGTCCTTCCTCGGACGAGCCGACCCATTCCTGCTGCAGCGTGACTCTACCACGTAAATATTGTTCCTCGACGTGAAAGGACAACATTTCGTTTGTCAAATGTCATTATCATCTTCCTAATAACATCTCAAAACAGTATAAAACTTCCGTTGCTAATCCGTCTAGTAAGCGTGGCCACTGTGGCAAAATTCCCCTATGAGGCAAACTATGGGAACTATGGGCCTATGTTCAGCTGTCGGCTTTTATAGCTTGTAATGGATATTTATTTACTTCTTAAGTAGGTACGAAAAGCATATCTCTATTAACCATTCAGTTACATTAAATATTTCGTAACACAACAGTGTCGTGATTCGAGACTAGTTTTAATATTTCATATGCTGCAGTGTGCCGAATGGCTGGTAAATTTTCATTTATTTACAACGTTCCAAAACAAACCCCAGGATTGCACATTTTGGCGCATATATAACAAGTGTAATGTATGCATTGTTAAACGATGAAAGTGAGAGGAACGTGGTAGAGCGACCGTCTAGTGTTTCATTTGGAACGTGAATGTGTCAGCTCGATCGGGGAAGGACCATGTTTCCACACCAACGCGTACCAGCATTAATGGCAGCATAATTCTGTTGTTTTTCATGGTCTTGTTGCATTCTATCTTAGTCCCAGGGTATTAATATAGAATCATAGTTCTTAATCATAGATGAATTAAGGTGTGGGTATATGGTTAGCGAAGATTTACTGTAGGTGAATTTAGTTCACCTATGCCACCCTTATTTCTACAATAATATAAATATTTCTATGCGCAGCTTAGAAGTACGAGAGAATCAGTGTTGTATTTGATTTTTTATCATTGATACCCATGTCTGTAGCCCATTACATCTACATTTATACTAAATTAAGAATCCGGTTTCTGGTTCTCACTTCACCATACAAAACATACTATGATTATGCTAGATTTCTGTGTCAGCTTGGTTCTTCCCCTGTCGAGCTTACACAATGAAATATAGGTGTTTGGCAAAAAACTCTTACAGCGCAATATTTGTCGGCCAGATACGATTGCTTCTTCAGTACGCACACATCCGCCGTGCTTATTTTATTTGTTCGTTTTAAGTATTTATAAGTACTTTTGTGCAATATTAGTTTTAAGTAATATAATGACATGAATAAACATATACATGTTATTAAAAATTCATGATTGGTAAGTTTTTAATATGAATACTTTACAAACATATTTTTGAATTAGGTTAGGTTCCCCGGTTAAAACTAACATCGTGTCCTAGAGGAAAATAGCTACTTACGCTTTGACAGCACTTACCGCTTACGATCGCCATTTTGTTTACAAGCGCTTGCTAGCGCTTTTTTCGCGAAACGCACCCAATTATATTGATGGCCTCTTCGCGTATTTGTCATCACTTTTATGGTCGCCTCCGGTGTTAGTGTCATTTTCGTTAAATTATAATAATTTTTAATATAATTTTTTAGTCAAAGCGCATCGGCTGCTACAAAGCAAGCACAAGGGTCGCCATGTAATGTAGGAAAAGTGTTAAATGAGAAGAGGAGACGTGTTACTTTAATTATACTACACGTAATTATTAACAAACTCTGATATATAGGTATACCGTAATATACCTATACAATATACCTATAATAATACCGTAATATACCTATTGTATATACTGTAATATACCTATTGTCGCGGGGGCTAAACGTCACTACATTTACTTCTTTACTTTTTTAGACTTTTTTATATAGCTTTTTAGCGGTGTAACCTACATGCTTGACATAGTTCAGTCTCCTATCCACAATTAATTCAAGGATTTTTAGGTCTTCAATGAAAACCATTTAGGGTGTTATTTAACCTAAGGTTTGGTATCTCATACTGGGTCTAGTGGTGTCGATTTTCCGTCCCATCGGACTATGTGAGTGAGTGCACCTGTGTTTTAGCATACACTTGGACACTATAAGCACAGATTAACTTATTAACCCCCGATAAAAACAGATGGTAGCCCCCTATCTGCGTATCTGTGTGCTTCTTGTCCTGTCTATGGCGTCATAGCTCTTGAACGGAAGAAC